TATCCTAACAGTGGCCGCTGGCTGCTGTCAGAATACAATAGAAGGAAGGGGGATTCCTCCATCCATGCTCAAAAGCGTAGATGGAGGAATCTGTTATATTTTCTTCATTCAGCTCAAAGGTTAAACAAAGAAAATATAACCATGTATACCTAGCTTTAGAGAGATTTTCCCTTGTTTCCTGTCCTGGGGTAACCTATATTAATAAAGAAATTAAGATTAAGATAAACTCCAGACAAGCTGCTAAATATACAATAGAAATACATATATGTGAACTTTTTATCTTCTAAAATATTATTATTTCCATTCAGTCAGTCTTGTAATCTAGGCTCCCCTGCCAGATAGCTTAGTTGGGTTAGAAACCATATTTTTCTCCATTGAAGTTAAGCACTACAGCTTGGTCGCAAACACATCTAAGCCAGGAATTGGTCAATGAAGGAGCAACAACTCACCAAACCTGAGCAGATTCGCTCATCCCTACTAATAGCTGTTTGGGTGTTGTGTAGTTTAATTAGCATCCTTACTGGATAACTACTGCAGGAAAATCATCTAAGGGATAAGCCATATGGAGATTTTATTTTCAGTGATTTTCTATGGAGCCTGAGCTTTTAAGCAAACCATTGGCTTGCACAAGCACTGCAGAAGCAGCAAGCACTGTTCTGCACAGGAAGCACAGAATGTATATGTTAAAAGCACATATAGTTGAACCCAATTTATTAGCAGTTTCTAATATATCATTATAAATACAATAATGGGAATTCATCATAAGGGAGCAGACAGAATCTGGAACAGTTGCTTATAGTAACCATGCAGCTTCTATTTTAAGTTTATTCAGTTAAGCTTTGAACATAAAATGTACTGTCCAGTTTCTGTCTGCTCCAGTTTTGATAAATACCCCTCAATGCTCTTTATACGTTTGAATGGTAAAATGTCTACAGATGTACTTTAGAAGAACAAAGTGTTTCTATTAAACAGGTGAAAATATACCAATATGACAAACACCAAATCTAGTCTATGTTCTCCTCAGACTAGAAAAACCTAATGTGAATAAATCCCCAGGACCAGATAACTTGCACCCACGGGTACTTAAAGAGCTAAGTATGATAATAGCTAGGCCATTGTTCTTAATCTTTAAGGACTCCATACTGACTGGGGAGATACCAGCTAATTGGCGTAAAGCAACTGTTGTACCAATATTTAAAAAATGTTTGAGAAGCGTATCTAGGAAATATACACCAGTCAGCTTATATCGATAGTATGCAAGTTATTTGAGGGTATGATGAATGGGCATGATATCATAAGTGACAACTAACATAGCTTCAGGAAAGACCGTTCGTGTCAAACCAACCTATTCGCGTTCTATGAAGAGGGGAGTGGCAAACTAGACAGAGAAAAGCCAGTGGATGTAGTGTACCTTAATTTTGCAAAAGCATTTGTTACAGTACCTCATAAATGTTTAATTTACAAATTTCAATCTTTGAGCATTGAGGAAATGGTGTGTACTTGGATGGAGAACTGGCTAAGTGAACATGTCCAGAGAGTATGAATAAATGGCTCATTTTTCAAGTGGTCCTCAGTTGACAGTGGCATGCCACAGGGTTCTATCTTGCAGTTATTGCTGTTCAACCTGTTTATCAATGATATTGGGACTGCTATTAATAGCAATATTTCAGAATAGGGGGATGGCCATCTATATGGCAAATGAGGTTTAATATTGAGAAGTGTAAGGTTATGCATTTTTGAGTTAAAATACGAAAGTGAGCTACTCATTAATGGATGTTCCACTGGGGGAATCAGAGGTGAAAATAGATTTGGGAGTCCTAGTGGACTGTCACCTTAGTAACAGCATGCAAAGCCATGCAGCAGCAAATAAGGGGAACAGGGTACTATCACATATAAAAAATGGAATGTACTGTAAAGACAAATCCATAATTCTGCCCCTGTACAAAACACTGGTCTGGCTACATCTTAAGTATGTGGTTCAGTTTTGGTCAACAATCCACAGAAAGGATGTCCATGAGCTGGAGAGAGTCCAGAGGAGGGTGACAAAGCTAATAAAGGGGTTAGAGGACCTAAACTATAAGGCAAGACTGCAAGCATTACACTAATTCACTCTGGAGAAGAGGAGACTGAGAGGGAACATAATTTTAATGTACAAATGGTTTAATGGTGATGGGATAATCAGTAATAAACTGTTTACTGGCTGTTAAGTCATGAATACAAGAGGCCACACCCTGAAACTGGCAGAGAAAAGGTTTAATCTCAAACAGCGAAGGGGATTCTTTACTGTGAGAGCTTTAAAATTGTGGAACTCCCTTCCGCAGACAGTGGTATCAGCTGAGAGTATGGAATTATTCAAAAACTATCTAGATACTTTTCTCAGCGCACAAGATATACAGGAGTACAGGTAATCTTAGTAACACACGGACACACACACACACACCCCAAAGGTTGAACTAGATGGACTCATGTCTTTATTCAAACCTAACAACTATGTAACTATGTACTTCAGCATGTCTATATTTCACAAAATAACCAGTTTATGTTATTTATGTGTTTACTTTATCATTTTTCTATGCTATTCTTTTCTGCTATACTTTGTAGTTATGTTTGCCTTCACAAACTAATATCACTTACAGTGGGCTATTTGAAGTGGTGCACTATGTAGACCAAAGGGTTAGCATAACCAAGGCATAGACTACCAGCAAGGTAAGATATATTCGGAAAAAGAATGTATCTAAGACATAGGCAACACAGAGCCACTCATTAGCCTGCTCTTCTGGCTTGTTCAGCTGTTTCCGCATGGATTCAATCTCCTTCATGATCCTGTTCAATTCCACATGGTTAGTATGTTTACATGCCTCTTGTTCAAGCACATTACAGCCATACGTTCTTCTGTTGCAGCAGTTGGAGAGGCTGTCTGTGTACAGAAGAATAATGGGGTAGCCCAAAGTTATAAAGTAGTTCTATTCAGAATTATGAAGACATGCATGGTAATGAATGCACGTTCCTATGTATGAACTGACACAGTTAGCTAGTGGAATATTTCGTTGCTGGCAGTTCCAAGGCTTAGGATAGCAGAGAATTGGTGCCTTTGGTGACAGTTGTTGGCATGCATGCTCCATTTGCAAGTGACCATATATTTTTAAGACCTCTGAAGTGGAAACAAAGACAAGTTTCCCACAATAGGCCGTCTCTAGTTAAAACATTTTTTTGTGGAAATAGTCAATGCGTCTTTACATTTTTATGGCTGTCCCTAACCCCACTGGAGGGTTTCACCTAATTTCCTGTCCCTGTGACAGCATTACAAAATATTGAAGTCACCAGGAAAGAATACAAAGACAATAATAATATGACAAGAAGTAAGGGGAAATCTTCCAAATGGAGTTCATAGAATGCAGTTAAAACTTAACAGAGTTTCTAACACCTTCCTACTCTGTCGAAACCTAAAAACATTTGGCTGGAGTTGGACTTTAACCAGTTGACATCCGCGGTGTTAAACCCCCTTCCCATCCAGGCCATTTTTCAGTATTCAGTGCTGCGGTACTTTGACTGACATTTATTCCGTCATGCAGCGCTGTACTGAAATGAATGTTATACCCTGTTTTGGGGACAAATAGAGCTTTCTTTTGGTGGTATTTATTCACCACAGGGGTTTTTATTTTTTACTATATTAAGGAAAAATTACCGAAATTAAAAAAAAAAACAGTTTCCCCTATATTGAATGATAAAACATTTATTATTACCCAATTTTTTGGTAAAATATAAAAGACGGGGTCACGTCGGGTAAAAGACACCAAGCCTTAAAATTGCGTGCGCGAAACCCCAAAAAACGATAATACCCAAAATTGGCCATAGGCGACGCTTTAAAAGCTGTTACCGCTCATCAGTTTAGTGTTATCAGTGATTGATGGCCCTAAAATGATTGCTCTCACTGCGACGTTCGCGGCGATATGTAACATGTGTAGTGCAATTGTAATTTTTGCGCACTGGGGCAAAATTTACGTTTATAGGTGAGTAAACGTGTGGGTGGGGGAGTTTAACATTTTGGGGGTTTTTTTTTCACTTTTTTTATATGTGACTTTTATTTAATTTTACTTTTTTATTTGTTTCGTAGACGGCAACCCACCAATGCTGCAGTGCCGTCCGTCCGTTTTTTTACAACGGGCGGACGGCAAGTGGTTAAAACAATAAAGGTAAAAATAATCTACAGACACTGCAAATGAGTCATGGCTGATCAAAGTATAAAAAACACTGAGTTAGGGGATACTGTGAGTTTCTAGGTATCATATCTACCAAGAAATTTCAGTATTCTTACACTTATAAATAAAGCAGGTAAAGTAATCTTAATCTTATGAAGGGCCCGTGTTGCCCGACTTTAGTCTTGTGTTAATGGCAACATTCTCAGACACCTTCAGAATTAATTCTATTCCATTCAATTAACACAACTAAAACACCGGGATAGGGATAATTATTTTCAAAAAAGTGACAGTTACTTCCATTCGAGTCCAATGAGATTTGAAAATTGCAGTCACATGGCTGAAAATAAAGATATTTATCCTTGTGTAAAGCTTTATGAATTGAACCTTTTGGCAGGTACATGTGAACTGCAGTTGACTGCCTTATGACCTGCATTTGGCCTACTTTAAGCAGGTTTTGCAGTCCTACAGAACCGTATGGGATTGCAATTTCTTTTTGAAGCAAAAAATTCACCCTAATGGATGACATGTTCTGGGTTACAGCACTTTAAAAAATGCCTTTTTTTAAATTAAAGAAAGTTTTTACCTTTTTCTTATACGTTTTGCTGATCTCCTCCAGCTTGTGTGCAGTCACTTCCTTTCTGCCTGCATGCACACCATGCTCTAAATAATGAAGGTGACAACAACAGGGGCATCCCGAGAACGGGTGATGACCCGCCGTGACATCATCGCGCATGTGCGGTCATCTAGTTGACGTCTGCCAGCGGCCATCCTAGTAATGGACGCTGGCAGAGAGAGGAGGGGATCTTCACCCGGTGGGATGAGGTATGCCGCTCGGTCCAAGACCAAGTGTTAGACTTTTTACAGGGGGTGACACCAAAATGTCTGTCAGTCATTTTGGTGTCACACCTCCAATGGTGTCACCCGGGTGCCACACCCCCTTTGTGACGCCACTGGACAACAATGGAATATGTCTATGCAATATATCTCAGGAAGACAACACGGGAGAGAGACATTGGCAGACAGAGACAGAGCATTGTTGTCCTATAATAGTAAGAGCCCGAACAAAGACCTTAATAGCAGGATTTTAATAAATGCTGCAGATCTTAATAAATGCTGCAGATCTAAAAAGATTGAAAACAACTTTTTAAATTACAATAACATATGATTATATATTCATTTTAGGCAAGTTGATTACCTATCAAACCCTCCATTGTGTAGGCCCAGAAATTGCTGCTGGGCACTGCGATCTTGGATGAGAGCAGCCCCAGCAGACTCAGAGCTGTCACTCAAGTGACACCTTTAATATTCCACTAAGCTACTTTTGCAGATGTTACATAAAAGGTTATGTAGGGAGGTAAGGAGAGAGGCAGTAATATGACACGGCAAGAAGTGGAGAGGACTATGCAAGGAGGGAGGGGACTGTTCTAGGGAATTAACTCTTCTGGAAGTAGTCAAATTTGCTAACAAGTTCAGAGGCCCATTAAAAAGAATGAATGGAAAGAACAAAAAGCTGCAAGTAAGCATTTAAAATAATTTCTGTGCTTTTACCTGCCATTTTTTTTAGGTTGGTGATAGGGATTCTTTAAGCTTTAAACCAAGTTTAGATTTACTTTAACACCTGCATTTTGATTTTTTTCACACACTAAAAAAAGTATTATTAAATAACTGTTAAAATCATGAGTGAAATTGATTAATAATGCTTAAAACTTGTATACCTCTGATGAATTAAGTGGCATTATCATCTGAGATAATATTTGAAATATTGCTCTTTTAGCATGCACTATGTGATACCAATAATGCATAAAACCCTAAGTATTTGAGATACTTCACTAAGACACTTCAAGATAAAATATTTTTTCACTGTAATGTTATTTTACGTTTTTGGGAAAGTTTATAAAGTTAAACTTAACCTTTGTAATATTTTTTTCAGCATTTCTATAAAACCTTTCATTTTAAAAATAAATGTAAAAATAAAGGTACACGCCTGATACTCAGCTGGTTGTTGTTTTCAGTTAGTCTTTTTTGGAGCCTGTAAGAAGCAGTTGTCCTGGTTGGAACTCTATGTCTGCCAGCTTCAAATGGTACATGTGAAATATTCACATGCTATATTTCATATGTATCATATTAGAAAGTATAACCACAGATGTTACGGTGAGGTAGGTCAACAGGAAACACCCCCCACTAAACCAGACATTTTTTGTTTTAGAGAAGCGCCTAAGGCAATCCGTATCCCTCACACTAAGGAGGAGTGCTGAGCATATATGCAAGATGCAGCCCCACAGCAGTCAAGGGAACTGGAACATCTAGAGAGAAACAAAGAGAGGGGCGCCTTTCCTAGTGCAGAAAGTTTATTCAATATCATAAAAATCGTACAGACAGGTACTCACAATGAGGGTGTAAAAACGAGCAGCAGGACAGTAAAAACCGGAACAGAGCAAGGGTCCGTGTGGAGCGTCCTGTATGAGGCTCACTGTGGTGTCAACGCGTTTCCGGAAACATAGAATAAACATTCTGCACTAGGAAAGGCACCCCTCTCTTTGTTTCTCTTTACCCCCCACTAAACCAGTGCAAAGTATGGCAGGGGTTTCTTAAAACAGAATTATCTACATAACTCATTCTATTGCAAATCTTTAAAGTAAGGGGATTACGCCTCATTTTAGGAAACTAGGCAGAGCTATGCACATCATTCTTTCTGCCCCTTGCTCAGCTGTACAGTATATCCAGGTCCACTAGTTCACAGCAGGGACGGCCTAATATTAGAGATTTTTTTCCCCCAAAACTACTACAACTGTTTAAGGCTTGTTGGCCATAATCAGTGCAGTGTGTTGAAACTATGACATCTTTGGAGCAAGGTTTGGGGGCCCAATTATTATTATTATTATTAGCATTATTATTAATATTATTCAGGGTTTTTATATTATATTATTATAGTTCATTTTATGAATAGGTCTGCTGATGTACTTAAGTTTGGAGATGAAAAGAATAGGAAGCAATGTGAATATGGTAAAGGCCTTATGCAACACTAAGATGTGTTTAGCTCAAACTCAGAAAATGCCAACATGTGCTCCTCCAAATGCTAATGACACAAATTCTCCTGAATGGCTTGTTGATAGGGTGGTAAGGCAGAGGGGAAAGGAGGAGATCTGTGTAGCAGGATGGAGGGTGGCTTGTTAATGTTAACAAAGCTTTTGACATTAAACAGTAAGATAATCAGCAGGAGCCTGGGAATATCCTCCTTGTTATCTTATGCCTGTTTCTTACCGATAGTTATTTTCTCTGTCTTGCCAGATGATTCCCTTTTAATGTGACATGATGCAGAAATCCTGTCTTTTATTAGGAGAGCATGGGCCATCTTTTCCAATGCCATTTTTCTCAACCAATCTGGAACTAGTGGGCAGAGACTCTTCTTATGTAATATTCCAACTATGAAGATACTTTCTGTCAGACTTAGCATTAGCATCAACATACACAGCGAAAAGTAGATGCCTACGACAAAATGATAGGACAACTGTGTTAGGCTTCATTTAAAAATAAACTTTTTAACAACCTGTGATTTCGTTTTTTTTTTTTTACTTGGTTAGAAAAATACACACCATGTATATAGAAAATGGATCAAAATCTTTCTGGAATCTAGGAGAAGGTGGGCACTATTGCATGACACCATATGGCATTGAGAGCAAAAGTATAGATGCTATGGGGACATAAGAACAAAAGTGACTTGACCACTGCACACCATTATTATTATAATATATCCCACATTTCTGTTTTATTTTGTATATGCTGTCCTAAAGATCTGACCTTACCTATCAGCGGAGCCCCAATTTCTGGTAATGTATCTGACACCATTACAAGGAAGACAGAATAACCCAGTAGCAGGGTGATTTTGAAGGATATTCTCTCGCCACTCTCAGGTGGTATGTTGAATCCAATTGTGTCCAAGATCATGAGAAGGGCACTGGGAAGAATAATATTCACAGTATAGAACAGTGGTTTTCTTTTCAGGATAATCTGTTGAAAGATAATTGCAAATATTTTAGTTTTTGTGATTTCATATCACAAATGTTTTCTAAAACTCAGAAATGTAGCATTGAATAGGGCAGGCTAGGTGGAATAAGTAGTGTGTTAGCAAAATCCACTACCACATTGTATAGTGTGTAACTATAATGAATGCTAGAGCACCATGCATGTTAGTACATTGCTGTTCCATTCATTTTGAATGATACCCTAGTCTAATACATATCCAGAACACAGCTGCATTTCAGTGCAGTGCAGCACGGTACAATGTATACTATGCATACTTTTACCAGCTCCCCGGAGATCCATCGAACAGAACTACTGGCAAATATAAAGACCATAATTGAATCCAATAATGTATTATTAAAATTCATTAAATGTATTACGTTTAAATAGTATACCTTTTATTTACAGCTCAGCCAATAAAGTGTTCTCATAGCTGTCTTTATCCCATTTGGGTTTTTTTCTCATGTATTCTGCCAGATCGCCAGAACAGGAAATTTGGAAAAATTCTTCAAACATAGACAGCATTACAAACCGGTCAGAGGATCTATCCCCTTGCCTACTCTACTCAAACTAATAAAAACAAAAAAAGTGGCAAGAATTCTAACCAATCGCCACCACATTCATCTCAACCCTTTACATTCAATTCAGTTGATTTAATTTTTTTCTTTAAGAAAAATATCCAAGATAGCAACTTTAACTGTATTCAATGAATAGACACTGCATTTGCAATTACATTACTGATATAGCTGCTTTCATAATGTGGAAGAGAATAGATTGAACTTACATAGAATGTTATCTCTCCAAATTTGCTGTCCTCGTCAATTACTTCTCTGTATTTCCGTAACACATTGAGGATATCCCACTCTCCTTTAGTCATACATGGATTTGAAATCGTATTATGGTCATGTGGTAATTTTGCAAAAGATATATTTATATCCTGACCTGAAAGATATTTTAAAATTATTATTTTGCAGTGTACTAAGTTGGTCGCTGGAAACAAATTAACATAGTGGAGCTGATGTACAAAATGATGATGTTATTAACACAATTTCAAATGCACCATAATCGCTCAAAATGGACCAGATAGCTTATACTCATTCTATAAATTTCAGCTTACTTACTTCTAATCCATTCGTTTAAGAGACTCGTATTATCTATTGACTTGATACTGATGGAATGAAACAAGGCAAAGGTGGTGCTTATATTAAAAGGTCTTCACACACTTTCTACAGATCTGTACGTTTATTCTCTATTGTAGGAAATATGTTTTATGGTTTGATAAAGAAACACATACAGTATAAGAGTAACTGCTAGAAAACATTATCATGAGCGGTGGCCAGCATGGATTTCTTAGAATTCAAAGTTGTCAAACAAATCTACCGTACTTTCTTTTTAATTAGGAAGTGGGCAACAACTGATGGCTAATCTGTAAGTTAAGATCTAAAGGCAAAGAAAGTTTAGTTTGTAAATGGATAGAATCAGGGCTGGGCAGAAACTATAAGGTCTAAAAACTGCTAACACTTATAGTAACTGCAGTTCAGTGGTTGTATGGAACTTAGAAGTCCAAGACAGTGAAAAATGCTACATGGCAGTTTAACGCAAACTTACTTGTGTGTAGCCAACTGCTGAATGATATGGAACAATTTATAACGTCAAAAGGAAAATAGTAAATATCTAGGTTGCAGAATGTGGTAACACGTATGGGATTGTTGTTGGTTATCCTACCATGGTGACTTACATACACGTAAGGGACATCTGGAGACTCTTTAGGGCCCACACTGCAAATATAGAATAATTAGAAATATTAGTGAATTAGGCATGATTCATGAAATGTATACAGAGATACAATGGTGGCATACATAGGAGTCTAGCATGAAATCAATGGGGG